CAGGGATGTCTTTCTGGCGCGAGGGTCGGCACTGGAGGCTGATCCCGGCACAGAGGAAGTAAATCCAGGTGACGAGCAGGATGAAGGCCACAGGGACGTAGAAGGCGCCCAGGCTGGGCCGCCACACCAGCCAGCAGCTGCACGGGAGGGAAGGGGCTCTCAGGAGCGGAGCTGGGTGCCTGCGATGCTCAGCACCCCTGCCTTGATGGCATGGGCTCTGCACAGGCATGCTGGCTGCTCAACTGGGGTTTTTATCCCAAATATATGGATAACTCCTGGGAAAAACCCCACTGGCTTTACCCAAGCCTGCCCGGGTTCCCGGTGGTGCCAGTTCCCCTCCAGTTTGAGGAGGAAGGTGTGGGAGACAGGGGCACTTACTAGGGGTTGTTGTCGTGGTAGTTGTGGATGTTGACAGCGGCCGTGATCCCGCAGATGATGAGGGGGATCCCGCCAGCGATCAGGTAGAACCTGCCCGGGGGGACACGGTGTCACACACGGTGCGGGGACACGGCTGGACGTGGGCAGGGGAGGGGGTGTCGGTACCGGAGCATGGGCCTGGGGGCCAACTGGGACGCGTCCCCATCCGGCTGCCGCGGCGCCTTCCAGGTCACCTCCTTGTAGAGCACCCTGGCCTTCACCGCCATCCACAGCAGGGTGGAGAGCGAGGAGTAGTGCAGGATGATGCCAACCTGCGGGAGAAGCGATGGTCAGGGAGCAGGGACGCTGCCGAAATGAGGTACCCGGTGAGGGTGATGCCTCCAGCGAAGACGGCGGCCGTCATGGCAATGTGGAAGCAGAGGTTGAGCAGCATGTGCCAGCCCTTCCGCGGGATGAGGATGGTGCTGGGAGAGGCGCAGCGGGCGCCGTCAGCTCCTGCCCGACCCCATTCCTGCCCCTCACCGAGAACCCTGTTCCCTCCATCCTGGTTGCTCATTTCTCCCAGCTATGGGGGACCCCATCCCTGAGCACTCCTGCTCCCCATTTCTGACCCAGCGGGGTCTCAGAGGGTCTTCACGCCCACCCTCAACGTCCCACCCACCTCCTCCAAGCCTCACGCTGCCGGACAAGACATAACCAACTACCCCAGGGCCCCCATCGCCATAAAGGCAGGACACAGCCACTGCCCCAAGATGGGGCACTTTCCTCGAGGGCTATCTCCTGAAAGCCATGGCCTAAAGTGCCAAGTCCTGGAGGACCATCCCCTGGAGATCCATCACCTCAAGGACCATCCCCTGGAGATCCATCCCCTGGAGGACCATCACCTCAAGGACCATCCCCATGATGGTCCCCTCCATCAGGACCATCCCTGCCCACTCCTCTCCCAGTGTTGCCGTCCCTGGGAGGGGATGCAGAGGCCTCCTCCCATGCGCGGCCCCTCCACCCGTGGCGATGTCCAAGGCTCCTGCTCACCCGTGGTGGACGATGTAGGTGATGATGGTGGTGAAGAGGCAGAGCAGCAGCACGGCCGTGCAGGTGTACATGGCCGGGTGCAGCACCTCCGCTGTCCCTCGCGCCTCGCTGGGGAAACCGCTCAGCTCCTGCGCACCCCAACAAACCCCGTCAGACCCCTCGTGCCATCCCACTACCCCCAAATCTGCATCTCCCCAGTCCTGGGCAAGGCTCCCACCTACCATGAGCACGGCCACGTTGCTGAGGTGGCGGCAGTGCAGGGAGGTGACGTTGGGCTCACGGGCAGCCAGCTGGCAGCCCTCGGCGCTCCAGCCGCCCATGCCCCCCAGCACCTCGAAGTTCCAGTAGGCGGCCA